GGGTCTGTCTCTCCTTCGGAGGCGGCGGGGTGGGGGGGCTGGCGGCTGTCCTCGCGAGCCCGGGTTTCCGGCTGGGATTTTGTTTTCTTTTGTCATCCTCTGCCTGACAGCGGCCCGGCGGCCTGGGTGCTGCCTACAGACGGGAGGGGAGGATGGGGGACTTCACCCGGTTGTGCTGCTGGGAGCAAAGCTGGAGGCTCCTGGCTGGAGGGTCTTGCCCCTCTGTTGGGGCTCGGACCATCCCCCATGTTTGGGGTCAGGAAGAAACAGAAGTGGGATGTTGGCTGGTGGCTCCCCTGCCTTTACTGCAGCAGGTCAGGGTGTTGGGTTGGTTTGCGTTGTGTCGGGGTTGAGGGTAGTCTCGCATAGAGTTTATATCGTGGTTGTATGGGCTGCTTTGGCTAGGGTTGATCCTGCCTCAGGACCTAGATGACCTCTGGAGGTCCCTTGCAGCCCAACTTCTCTATGACTTATCTTTTATTGGGCCAGCTATGTGGCTGGGATAAAGTCAGGCAAGCTTTCTTATGGAAGACATTGTTTGTCAGGTCTTGGAATATGGGAAGGCAAGCACAGCAAGCTCCCTACAGCATGAGGGAGGGGCTGAGAGAAGTGTTTGGGGTAGCAGCCCCACAAGGAGCAAAGGAAAAGCTGTTGAGATCTTCCAGTACTCTGTGGCTTTCTTTTGCTCACTGTGTGGCTGCTACCCTTGAGCATGTCTTAGCTGGTCTCAGCCCCTCTCTTGTGCTGGTCTCAGCTTGCTGCGCTTGGCTTCCTGTATTCAGAGACCTGAGGAAGAATACCTTGCACTGGAAAGCTTGCCTGACTTTTATTGGGCTGACTATGTGGTTGGGATAAAGATAACAGTCATAGAGAAGTTGGGCTGCAAGGGACCTCCAGAGGTCATCTAGGGCCTGAGGCAGGATCAACCCTAGCCAAACCAGCCCAAAGAAATCGTTACCTCTCTCATGATTTTTGGACTAGCGTGGCTACAACATCACTCTTTACGCTGTCTTTGGTAAACTCACTGGTCTTGTGTAATTCACTGCAGTTACTCTGCTGGCATGATGATTACGTAGAGACCAGTGTTTTCATTTCTTCCTAGAGAGTGCTGTGCTATCTTCTTCAGGGCTTAGTCCAGAATTTTTATACAGAGGCAGTTAGGTGATCCTTTGTTAGAATAACACTTTATTATTACAAGTTGCTCTTTAATGACCTTTAAAAGCATTTGCACTAAGTATTATTAAAACAGGGAGGGGAGGAGAAAATGTCATCTTGTCAATAACAGAGGAAAGATTATGGGTGACTAATAGGATGTCTTTATTGGGATGACAGTCTACAAAAATGCTTCCTCTAGTTAAAAAAAACAAACAAACAAAAAAACCAACCCCCCCCAAACAAAACAAAAAACAGGTTGCAGCTATATAACCACATTAAATCTAAAAAAATGGACAGCATATAGATAGACTTCAGACCATTAGGTAGATTTTCTGTTAGGTTCACATACATCCACATGATGTCTGTTTCACTTGTTTGTTAAGTGGGAGTGTCCTTCTATTTCTGTAGAAGAAAGTTGCTCACAAGATACTTTCAAGGACAGGGAAAACTGATTAGCCCACTATAAAAATGAAGCAACAAAGTAGACTACATAGGAAGTGTGCAAAAGAGTACTATATCATTGCAAGTGTTAGTGATGAAACATCTTTCTTTAGTAAGTTTATGCACATCATACTTTGTCAGTAGTTGGACTTGTCTCTCTTCTTCCTTCTCTTTGTGATACAAGCAAAATGTTTGAGCGAATGAAAAATATGTACATTTTCCTTATTCTTTGGACAAATATGTAGTAAACTTAAGTAACTTATTAAGATATTTATAGTTTAAAATTAATTTGACAAACACCTTTCATTGTTCTTACTGCAGTTATGTCATTGCTGCTTATTCTAGGTTGCAGTTGCCCATCATGTTTTGTTGCTTTAGCAATGACTGTAAACTTTCTTAGAGTGAGCAAGCTGCAGCTTGTTTAACATCTGGAGAAATGCAATTTCTAATGCTTAGAGTCTAACCTCATTTTAAAAAGGAAGTATGCCCATGGTACAGCAAATCTTCACATAAAACTTTGAAAAAATTTAGTTTGTGGTATTTTTCCAGTGGATATGAGGTTGTTTGGGGGAGAATATTATATTGGCCGCCATCCTTTTTCAGGCCTTGGTCTCTCTAATTGCTTCAGTAAGGTGGCTGATTGTGATTTAGACCCCTTAGGGCAGGTACTGCCTGACATTGTTAACTTACTTCGTATAAGCTGTTGAATGACTGC